AGAAGTATTTTGCAAGAAAAAAAGAAGTAAATCAATAATTTAATTTAATTTAATTTAACAAATCAATAATTATGATTAATAGTTTAAATATTGTTTCTCATTCTTTTTTTTTTTAATTGCTTATTTTTACAAATAATTTTCACATTTAAATGAATATTTTTTCTCCTTCTTATTTACATAGTTATTTGCATAACAAAAAATAAATAATCGAAAGAAAATTATATGATAATAAAGGTATTCTCAATGATTTGAATGTGTAAATGATGAAGACTGAAAACAAATATTTGTCATTTTATCGTTGACAAAAGAAAAAAAGAAAAAGAGAAGAAAAAATGAGTAGAAATCAAGTAAACATATATTAATTCTAATTTTGAATAAAAAATTCAAATTTAGAATTGCTTCAGATAAGAAAAAAAACACAAATTTTCGCATTTTATTTTTCATAAAAATTTAATTTACGAAATTTTATAAAACTTAATTATTTGGGAATAATTTGAAAACAATAATTTAATAGAATGGTTGTAAGCTATTTAGCTATTCAGTTTATCCTCGTTGCAATATGCATATCATTGGCGGTACCAGCTGGTATTTTTGTACCATCATTTGTTATTGGTGCATGTGGTGGTCGTTTAATTGGTGAAATAATGGCATTATTATATCCTCAAGGACTTCGTGGTCCTGATGGTCCAAAAATTTTTCCTGGACTTTATGCTGTTGTAGGTTGGTTTTTTTGGTTTCTCTTTTTTTTGTCTCACACTAGAGAAAATTTATAAAGTTAATTTATTTTTTATTTCATTCAATTTTAAGAAATTAAATGAATAATTCTATGATTATTATAATGTATTAATAAAAAATAATGTATAACTATTCCAGTTTTTAATTATTTACCAATAATTTGATAGATTCATAGCGTATAAATTACAAGAAAATAGATGAAACTTTTTCATGATTTTCGTAAAATTAATAGTAGTACTTTAGAAATTAATTAATTATTTGCTTATTTAAGGAGCAGCAGCTTACACAGGATCAGTGACACATTCATTGTCAATTGCAGTTATTGTATGCGAAACAACGGGTCAACTTTCACCTTTATTACCAGTGCTGGTCTGTTATCTGACATATAATTTGGATTTAAATTAATTTTTCAAATCATCAATTCTAATCTTTCTTGCCTTTCTAATCTTTTAATTCTATACTTGCAGAATAGTTTAAAATTATTGATTAATAATGCTAAAAATAACAATAATAATAATAATAATAATAATAATAATAATAATAATAATAATAATAATAATAATAATAATAATAATAATAATAATAATAATAATAATAATAATAATAATAATAATAATAATATAATAATAATAATAATAATAATAATAATAATAATAATAATAATAATAATAATAATAATAATAATAA